GGGTTCGGTAGGGAAATGGGTACTGAGGCTCTCGACAACTACACTCAGGTCAAGGCTGTTAGAATTAAGATTTCTCCAAAGTCTGCTTAGGTATATCCGTTTGTGACGTATTACAAAATAAAGTATTATGTGTCTAAAACCATTCTATTATTGTGAAATTCAAGTTTGAGTAAAGAGGATTCTTATGAGTATCAGGCATGAAATAAGAATCTTGTAGTAAAGGTGCCACTTAACTAGACGGAAGTCGGAGTCCATTTTCCCCATACCTCTGATAAGCGGACACCCTGGTATCGTATTCGCCTCAGTATATATGGCCACTGACTACCCTTCTCTTGTAGATATCTTACATAGAAAAGCCATTATCTTTTAGCTAGATAACAGTTTGCATTATTATCTACTAGATATACCACAAGGTGCTATAGGAGTAGAAGTTTGGTGAAAGAGCTGGGAGCTAAGATCCGACACATATACTGGGGATAATTTTCCCGAACGCTGTTCTTGTCTAAAATCACAATTTATAACTTAGCAATGTGACTTCCTGTCAACTAGGAGCTCGGACCGTTATCCAGGGTTTCAATAAGCCAAACGCACGTCAGAAAAATAAAATACACCATGGCTTCATAAAACTCGGGGATTTCACCATTGCATGAATCAAATAACGAAGGACTATCAAACGTATGCACGTCCACCAAAACTGGAATAATAATCGTCAGAATGAAGTATTATCGAAAATCTATGGCGCAGTAATAATCAGAATGAAGTATTATCGAACATCTATGGCGAAGTAGCCAGAATGAGGTACTATCGACTTCTATGGCGCTAGTGGGGTCTTTGCGCTGCTGCACTTGTTGATGGTGTTGGTGGGGTATTTTGGTTTGAGGATATTACCCCTCTATTTATACATTTTTCCCTATACATGGCGATATTTACAATACGAAAATGACGCCAAAGATACCAGAGGTGAGAAAAACAGCCCCTCTTTGGGAGTGCCCCTAACAAAATTTCGCGATACACGGAGTCCCGCCCTCCAAAATATGCGAAAATGTACCATTGTTGCCCCGCAACATACCCCTCATATGATGTATCCACCATATTGCCTTACGAATTCAGACTAAATGCACCCAAACAAGAACCATGCGTAAACGTGCAGCGTCTCTATAGGCAGACATGTTTGCGACCCCTCACGGTCATTCTTTGTGCCAACTCTCCGAGCCCGAGTACTCCGAAAGATTCTAGCATATATAAAGCTAGCCCATTCCCCATAAACTTCTAAATCTTGACGTATTCTCACCACGTCACTTACAATGTTTAAGCAAGCTCTTTCATCCAAGACTATTTCCCCAAGAT